TATATATATATATGAATTGTTTGAGAAGTGTCTAAGTTTGATGATCCTTAACCAGACTTTACTTACCTCTAAGTCGAACAATATTAGTCTAAAGCGAAACCTCAACATACTTGTGTGAGATAAAAAAAAATATAGGGATCCATTTATTTTAAGAGTAATTCATAGTAGAGTTATTCTACTATATAATCTATGATTTATATTGAATTTTAATGATACAACCTTTGAATTAAATCATCTTAATGAATTGATCGAGTTTATAATTTTTGTATATATATATATATATATATATAGGTTAATATCTTGAAAGAAAAAAATCTGAATAATAATATTTTACGGGATATTTTGGTAAATGTAGTATAATCATGAAATATTATAAATCAAGACAAAAGTAGTTTCATCTTTCAATTAGTCCAAGCATAGTTTTAGTAACTCTTTTATGATTCCTTCCACCGCTAGCTAGTTGTTTTCTCTCTTTCTCTCTCCCCCTACCTTTATTCAACAATGGTGGTTGAAATCATTGATCTTTCAGACTCCCCTCCCTCGTCACCTAGGTCATCTAACAATGCAACAACAAGACTTATCAATTTTAATTCTGTTTCTGTTGAAAAAGAACAATTTGAGAAATTTCCGATACCCTTAATGGGTTGCACAAATCCCAACTTGTACCATACCGACCAGCCACAGACTAGTCTATGGCCAATTGCAAAATATACTTGTGAGCCCTCTGAAGTTGCTACTTTTCAACCCAACATGCCAAGGGCTGCTACAATACTTGAACCAACACCTACATCGAACACTTACCTGTCCCCTGGTGGAGCTGGATTGAAGGAACCCTGGACTCACAAAGAGCACGAGTTTGTGTCCTCCAAACTTCATCTTTTTAGCATTCTCTCATTTTTCTTATTCTACTTAATTGCATTTCAATTCTCGTTAATCATTTAAGGTAGGTTTTAAATTGTGTTCATGATCTCAATTTCGCTGTAATATTTGATATTGAGGGAAATTACATATAAAAACGGTTGCAAGATCATACACACTCCAAAAAATTTAGTGTTATGGCCAAAATCATGGTCCCATAATGTTTTTTTTAAAACATTACTTTCAATTTCTTTTTTGTAAAAGAAATAAAATTTTCATAGGTCATTAAGTGGTGTTTTTGTTACTATATTTTTCCTTCTTGATGTATCATTACTTTTTATTAATCAGTTTTATATATATGAATTTTGATTCCAGGTTATTTATGAGGGGACTAATCAAGTATGGAAAAGGGTCTTGGAGCCAAATTGCTGAACACTTTGTGCAAAATAAGACACCACAAGAAGTTGAGAGCTATGCTGCATGGTTCTTCAAGCATCAACCATCCACAGCTAGCCTCATGTCCTTAAACAACAATCTCATGGCTGCATCTGCATCTGTCTCAGACTCTATGTCCATGGTTGTTAATGAGCCACAACACACCCACATGTTTTTCCCAGAGAATGCTTCTTTCCTTCTGGCCCCATCATATGGAGAAGCTAGTAGCAACACCAACACCAACACCGTCATGCATGGATTCCCAATGCAGACAAGTGGTGCAAACACTTCCATGAATGCTAGTGATAATGGAGAAGTTGATTTGGAGTTGCGTTTGGGTTTATGCCAGCCAGACTCAGATATGTTTAATGCTTGCATGGATGACAAATATATCTAGCTTGCTAGGTGTGATTGTGTCTCACCCTTAAATGCCTTTATTTTATGCTCTTTTTTTTTTGTTGGTTGGGATGTTATCGTTTATTTATGTTATCAAAGTTATGTTGATGTTTGCTTGCAGATGTGTCTTATTTTTCATGAAATATGTCTTTTATGTAATAAAACTTGTCAATGTTTCCTTTCCAAACATTTTCTTTAGCAAATCACATCTTTTATCGCAAAAGGCTAATATATATAATTAATATTTTAATACATGATAAAACATTATTTTTACACAATTAAAAATTTTTAATCTTTAAATTATATTATAATTAAATTTCATAATAAATAAGCATATTTAAATATAAACTAAAATTTGAATTTATAATAAAATTTTAAATTTTGATATATTATTTTTAATTATTGATATTTTTTAAAAATATCAAAAATCAATTAAAAAAGTGAGATAAAATATAATAGGCAGAAGGGTTAGACAATTAAAACCTTTATTTATACACATAAGGATAAAAGGAATATAATTTAATTGATAATTTTTTTAATTAGTTGCAAAAATAATTGTAAAAGAAAAGAAATTAAATAATATTAAGAATATCTATTTGAGAGAATGAAAATAATCAAACTTAAATAAATTAGTGAGAGAAATATTTATAGTATAAATATTTTTTTTACCATATTTCAAATTAGAAAATAGTTTGTAATTTACGGTTTTAAAAATAATTAGTTATTACACCTACGAATATTTATAAATGCAAAAAAAAAAAAAAATACTGGGGCAGCTGTCCCTGCTCTTGCACATATGATATAGAATAAAACTTAATTATTCTTATGTTGAAAATTAAAAAAAAAAATGTAAATGCTATCGAATATATATTACTTTTATCAAGGTTAGGATAGTTTGTAAAGAATCCTGAGTTTGAATTTGATTGCTGTAATTTTAATTCTTATTAATAAAAAATTGACTCTTATTGTCTTATCTATTATTGGTTAAATATTTTTTTTTAAAATTCTTATAATTTCGCTTATTTTATCTTTTAATTTTTATAATTTAAAATGAATATTTTTAGTTCTTATATTTATATATATATTTTATATTATTTTTAGTTCCTATAATTTATAATAAATTTCTTTGGTATTTATGTTTGTAATTTTTTAATCATTTTAGTCTCTATCGTCAACTTGTGTTGATGTAATAAATGTCTTCAATTTAGCAAAGATAAAAAAAGAGTAAATTACATTACTCTCCGATAAGAGATAAAAGTATTACATTTTTCTATTCTCTTATGTTAAAATATACAATTTAATTCATTTAACTTAATATCATTAATGTAAGTTAATGGTCTCTCTCTCCAAAGATGTAAATATTACACTATCCACCATATATATGTTAAAATATAAATTAAATTACTCTTTTATCCCTTAAAGTTTTAAGTATTATATTATCATTCTCTTGTTATATTAACTTAACATATCATCATAAGATTTTGAAAAATACTTTTAATTTAATTATTTATAAAAAAATTATAATTATAATTTAATTATTCATAAAAAAGCATAAATTTAATTAAAATATATTTCAAAATATTTTTAAGTTCATTATCATTCAATTATTAAATTAAAAAATTGTAAAATATTTAATTAAATTTAAATTAGTTTATTAAAATAATAAATAAAATAAAAACTTTAAATTAAATTATATATTATAATTTTATATATAACTCAACACGCA